CCAGTCGGGATCCAGTCGGAATCCAGTCGGGATCCAGTTGGGATCCAGTCGGGCACCAATGTCGGGAGGCAGCCAAATTCATAAAAAATAGCATTTTTGCAGTGTTTTTGCATGTTTTTCGGTGATTTTGGCTGCTTCCCGACAGGTCCAAACGTGGTGCCAAAAATTCGAAAATTGGTGCCCGACTGGATCCCGACTGGATCCCGACTGGCCAAAAGCGGTGCCCAAAAATGCAAAAATTGGTGCCCGATTGGGTCCCGACTGGGTCCCGACTGGGTCCCGACTGGGTCCCGACTGGATCCCGACCCGGTTTCTTCAAAAAAACCCCTATTTCCTTAAATTTGAGCCCCTATTTTTGAAATTTTAGCCCCTTGCCGTGCCCCCCCCCCCCCCCTCCGGACCCCCCCCCCACCAGTCTTAAGCCAAACACGGGCTTGGCAACCCAATATATCTATACTGTGTGTTTATAGTTTATGGCTTACCATATTTATAATACACATACATTAACATGGTGTACAACAGTTTTTTGATGAATGATCATTGTTTCGTATTACCACTTCAAATTTGGATTTGTCAACGGCAATGGATTGAAATGGATTCCAGTCCAGTAACGCAAACAGGTTTTTTCGTTCGACTGTTTATGGGGGGCCCAGTGGGCCCCCAAAAAGCTTTCTAAAACATGATAAAACAAGTGTTTTCAGGGTGGTAACCGATATGGAAAGCCATATTTCCAGGTGAACCACAGCTTTTTTTCTGTTCAGGTGGGTGCGTGGACCACGAAAACTCAGGACAAGTTCTGATCCAATGATGTGTATGATGTGTTCGTTGTCGTCGTTAAGGGCGAACAATTTATAACAACTTTATTCGATAATTTTTCGAAAAAATACATATATATATATTATGAATGATTTCGAAGAATGTGGCAGTTTTGTTTATTGTTTTTGTTGGTAAACAATGGCACAATTGACACATATCTCTTGATAATCCCCAGATTGTTCCATTTTCTCAGGGCCGACAAATAGGCCAAGTCTAGGGGGTCGAACATGTGCCGCTGAGTGGGGACCACCAGTAGCAGGGTTGCTCCAACCCATTGGGTGAATGATAGCTATAATAAGCAGGGTAAATTGGTATATGTTGATGCCTTCATCCGCCCATTTTAATCCATTGTAAGCTTATCGACCCATCTGGGGAGTTCTGAGCAGTCCTGAGCAAGTGAATCTATATAAATTCATGCATTTATAATCAGAGATAAATATATGTATCATAATATAGACGCAAACATAAATGTTGGAGTTGTTGTCCTGTTCGAAGCCAAGTTCGAAACCAGCCTCTGGCGGTGCCCACGATGGAGCCCATCCCCGCCCCAAATCAAAGTTTACCCTTCTGACAATCAAACATGGCTGGCAGGGGTAATCCCTTATAAATGGCATGTAAAATACAGAAAATCGATGATAGATGAGACAATTTTCTCTAAACATGATCTCTAAACATGGGATTCGTCACTGCCATCTTTGTCTAATAGAGAATGAATACTTTGTGCCCAACATTTTTGAAACAAACTGTCAACATTCTTACACTAATCATCATAAACACTCTCAAAAGTTGTCCTGCAAACATGTGTATAAAACCATGTCCCATTTCCAAAGGTAGAATCAACAACCACAGGCATCTGATGGTTTTTTTTTTGTGGGGTTTCTCTATGGCTTTCAGATGATCAGATCCTGGGAAAATGATGGTCCAACCCGGGGGGAAAAGCTGTCCTTGCTGTCGACTGGGCTCGGCAGGGTGAAGAAAATTGAAGATGTTTCTGGTGGCTACATGAAATTGATTGCCTTCAATGCCCCCTGACGGGGATGATGTTGAAAATTCTGTCAGGTGTTTTAGGTATCAGTTTGTGTCTCCAGAATTTTCAGGGCCTTGATCAAGTGCCGATGACTTTCAAGACTTCTGAGCATGAACCCACAAAGTGCCAGTGGAAAGTGATTCGCTTTTCCTATGCATTTGAGGATGTGCGATATTGTGTATGCCAGATTTTGTTGCGTGATCATATAATATGTATACGAAGATGTTTCACGCAGTTTCTTGGTTTCAGAACATGTTTCTTAATCCATTTGCAAGATTTTAAGCAACTTATATATATATATAATAAACTTATATATATATTATATAATATCGTTCCCACATAAACCAAATGTTTCCCTGAACAACGTTGTGGCCACATGGCATTCCCGCACCAAGAGCTAGCGCTGGCGTGCAGCTGAGCTCGGCGGCTTGGCGATGGTTCAAATTCGCCAACGCCAAGTTGGTTTGTGAGTTGCTTTGTAACGAGTAGAACTACAATGTGGGGCCCCCTAGATAGCTAAGTTGGTTTATAGACCCCATGAATACTATTATAGTTATAAGTACAATAAACCATAGTTATTGGAGTTATTGGCACCAACTTAGCTATCGTTTGGGGGCCCTACATTGTAGGGATAACTAGTACTTATGACAAACCAATACCTATGAAAAAGATGATAAATCATTATAATGACATAATTATCATTAATATGGTAAAGTATTATATTATATTATATTATGGTGTATATTGACATGTACATTGACATACCAATACATATTTATACATAATATAAGCTTGACCATGGCACATGTTTGCTGTGACCGCGTACGATTTGTAAACGGGTCGCGGAGCCTCGGCCATAGGTCGAATTGCCGGCTTTTTTTCGGTGAATAGTTCAACCATGTTGTCCACCGCCAGGGGTTAGATTCCTTTTTTTTCCCAAAAAATACTGGGGATAAAAAAGGCCTGAATGTAGTTACTTGTTGAAGATCATCCCGTTAAGTCTGATTTCAGGCCCAAGATTTCATCCCAGGCCCATGGGGATACGCCTGGACGGATATGGGATGTAATTGGAGATAATTGGGGATTTACCTCACATTGACCCTGCTATGAGTTGGGGGACATGAATCCATGGGGATAAAATGACCTTCAAAAAAAGCGGAATTCACCAAAAAACGCGAAAATGAGTGTTATTTACTGCAGTTATGGCCATTTATCAGTTATAAGTACTAAGAAAACCCCATTTATAGAATGTATAATCCCATAGAAATAACCAGTTATAACTGGTAAATGGCCATAACTGTGGGAATATACCGCATGATTTACCCTCTACAAAACATGGAAATCCATGCTGTTTCCATATTGGATATGATCTACTTTCATGGACGTTACCCGTCACTGTACCCCGCCACCAGCAATGCAAATCGAATAAAGATGGAGCTTTAGAGAGGAAAATCACTTATTGTATATTAATATATAAATATTTGTGGATTTTCCAGCTAGCCACCTTTGATTACCAGAGGCGTCATACATGAATATTAACCACTAATCACAACCTGAACCTCCTGCCCGATTTCAAAAAATGTGCCCGTTTAAGGGTCTGAAAGAAAAAGGTGTCCGAAGTTCCGTGGCTCTCCATAGTAATCAACCTGATTCTTTCCCCAAAGGCTCGATAGGACACTTTTGTCACGCGCTAATGCATGTGCAGCATGCCAAATACGACCTCGAACAGCCACGCCTGACAACATGGGTTGCATCGCAGCACATGTAAACAACCGAGCTTTGGACAGGGTAAATCTAAAGTATCCACCTCAACATCACGTATGTTTTTTCATAGGCCAAGAATGGCCAAGATACCTCCAGCAAACAACCTTCAGCTATAGCGCAATTTTCACAACACCACATCAACAGTCGGGCTTTTTTTTTTCATACCAAGAATCGTCATGCAGGGCGTTCAACATTCAACATTCAACGCAAAAACACCACAGTCACAACAAACAAATACATAACATATATAAGATGAACACTACACGCGGCAAAATCCAGAAACATGCGCACCGGGGGTCCAAGTAAAACGGAAATGAAGCCATTCCATGAACTAAACGGTCGATGGAAGAACTGGCTAGGCTCAGACTGAAACAACATGCCCCCCACAAGCTCAAGACCACATGGCGGCGCCTTCTCTTCGGACCATGCCTTCTGTTCGGATCATGCGTAAAAAGGGTTTTCAAAAACACGCGACACGTCATGACGGTCAAAACAAGAGGGTCAAGTGGTACACTTTTTTTTTCGCGCCCGTTTCGCGCCTTTTTGTGCCCGTTTCGCGCGTTTTCGCGCCCGTTTCGCGCAAGACCCTTGGATAATATCAGGCACAAAATGTCAACATCATGCATGTCAAAGCCGACCTAATGCAAGGCGCAAACGTCAATCTGACCGTGTTTCCCAGAGTTCACGGTCAAACTTTGTCATGCACAGCCATGCCACAGGCCGGCTACTTTTGCCATGAGGTGTTTCCACATATAGTCCCATGCATCAAGCACTTGTGCGTCGTGCCATGAGTTACCCATGGGCAGGGCTTCAAACATTTCACAGCGGGCGGAAAATTTCCGATTTTTATCCTGGAGGAGGAATCAGATGCAACCATCTGACAATTAAGTCATGCATCCAGTCATGCATGGCAACAAGAACGTCTTCAATATCGTGCGCAGCAGCCTTGCTTTTTGATTGAAGTAAATCATGGTAAAGCTATATATGGGGTATGGGGATATTTGGCACAGATTAATAGCTGCATGTTGGTCACATCATCTGTGCCCATGTCATCTTTCAACAAACACATTGTGAAAGTAACTATATAGACTATATAGGCCAACTAGGCTTCAAACCCAGCCACATGCTTGCCAACAGGCCTGATTTGGACGTATATGTTTGAGCACAAGTTGGGAAGGGGCTGGCAAAACTGACAACGGCACAAAACATAGCCATTATTAGCCACTTGGAAAAATATGTCCACACAGTTGCCTTTTAAAAAATGTGCTCGAAAATGAGGTTGTTTTCAGAATCTGCCCGTTTACCACAAAAATGTACCAAACACCCTAAAAGTACACATTTATCTGTACCACTGGGCGGTGCAGGAAGTATTAACCATTATTAACGATTGACCATTAGTAGCCATTATTAACAATGTTTTCTCATTGGTTACATATCAGTTTCCGTCGTTTTTTGGTTGCTTCATACCTCCGATTCTCAGGCGGTCGGTCATGGCGGTCGACGGCGACGGACAAGTCTTCGTCTCGGTGCTTGAGAGGCGCGGCCATGGACGGGACGATGTGTATTTCAAGCACGAAGAGAAGGGGTATAATAGCCATCTGTCTGGGTTGTTTTTTACCGGATGATTTACCCTCTACAAAACATGGAAATCCATGCTGTTTCCATATTGGATATGATCTACTTTCATGGACGTTACCCGTCACTGTACCCCGCCACCAGCAATGCAAATCGAATAAAGATGGAGCTTTAGAGAGGAAAATCACTTACTGTATATTAATATATAAATATTTGTGGATTTTCCAGCTAGCCACCTTTGATTACCAGAGGCGTCATACATGAATATTAACCACTAATCACAAGTATTAACCATTATTAACGATTAACCATTATTAACCATTATTAACAATGTTTTCCCATTGGTTACATATCAGTTTCCGTCGTTTTTTGGTTGCTTCACACCTCCGATTCTCAGGCGGTCGGTCATGGCGGTCGACGGCGACGGACAAGTCTTCGTCTCGGTGCTTGAGAGGCGCGGCCATGGACGGGACGATGTGTATTTCAAGCACGAAGAGAAGGGGTATAATAGCCATCTGTCTGGGTCAATTTCATCACGACCGAAGCCTGTTCTCCCTAACACTGGATTCATGTGTTTTTAATAGGGAAATCATCCCCATTCATGGCCCAACAATTCAGGTTAGTGATGCAATTCACCCAGATCTGTTTATGGTGATGACTTAGGGATGGTTGGTTTTGGTCCCGGTTTAATCAATGACATGTTAATCACCATACAAATATAATTACCTGTATACCTATCAATCATCGTCGACTATAATGTATACTACCCCTTCTGTAAGTGATGATTTGTAGCAAAAAACACCATGTATGACAAGTAAATCATCATAAATCATCATAATTCATCATAAATCATCATACATCATCATGAATTATCATAAATCATCATGAATTATCATAAATCATCATAAATCATCATAAATCATCATAAATCATGAATCATAGATGTGCATCCCACTTGGGATTCGTGGTTTATAATCCCATATATAAGTCATATTACTTACCATAGGGGATATGCCATTTCACTAGGTCTTTTTTTGGGCCTCACCATATCCCATTTATTGCTAGTACCATATTTGTACACCTGGCTCGTCATACTTCATGAAATACCCCATAAAGAATTTCCAGCTGTGCCTTATGCGATTGTATTTGCTTGCTATGTTATGTCTCTCGTGAAGATGTCCCATTATATGCCTATAATACTGTATATATTTATATACATATGTATAGGGATATATGTATATTATATTTCAACCTTCCATGAAAGATGTCATTACATCTCATTTTATCCCCCAAAAATGCATCCACTACTTTGAGTGTGATTGAAACTGCACCCGAATGCAGACCCCTGGAGAGTACCGCCATTCAAAGCTGGAGGGATTTGGGGTATGCTCTAGAGGTATCTTCACAGCAATTTAGGTAACAAACCCATTTTAACCTCTGGTTGGTGGTTTCGAACATTTTCTATTTTCCATTATGGGATAATCCTTCCTATTGACTTTCATATTCTTCAAGATGGCTAAAACCACCAACCAGAACCTCATGTCACCATGTGTTTAAAAAGTTGGACCCAAAAATCGATCTTTTTTACAACAAACATCCGGTGAGACAATTCCACTGGCAACCCGCTGCCAGGGGTGAAGAGGAACCCAATCTCACCTGGACCTCCTGTCGCTGCAGCATCAGTGCGTTTCGCATCGTCGGAGGACTGTCGGTGGCAGCACTGGTGGTGGCACCTTGGTGGTGTTCGCATGTTCTCCCCATTCTATCGCCATGTTCCCATTAAACTCTACTAAGCCTACAACCAACTGAGCAGTGTTCAAAACATATTCAGTATCCCATCAAAAATCCCACATGTGTTCCACATTTTTCGACTACATCCCATGTGTCACCATTGGGATTCTGTCGGGATATGATATGATGGTATATAATGGGACATATTATCACAATATCTTTATCATAATAGGAACATATACATTTAATACTAGTAATTATAGATGAACATGCTTGTGATTTCCCTGGAAAAGTTCCCATTAGTTCATGGTGTTTACCATGCCTATCATATTATCATATTATATATCATGATATATCATATGGGTTTATCATTAGTTATCAAATCCCCTTATCCCATCATATTTCCCACACAGTTCCCAATATCTCCCATTAATCACCATTGGTAAATACAATGGGATAGAATGATATATATATATATATATATATAGTAACTATTATAGTAACATTAGTATAGTAACTCAATGTTACTAATTGCAACCTTCAGTTATGATAACTTGGCCATTTACCATTTTTAACTGCTTATTTCTATGGGATGAGATACATTCTAACTGATGGAGTTTTGTTAGTACTTAGAACTGATAAATGGCCATAACTCCAATAACTATGGTTTATTGTACTTATAACTATAGTATTCATGGGGTTTATAAACCAACGTTCACATCACTGGGGGGCCCCACATTGTACTAATTGCAACCTTCTTTGTTAATGCTACTACCATGAGTTCCAGCTCAGGTAGCCTGGCAAAGATTTAGCTCTGGACATCGCTTCGAAAACTTCGAGGGCTTCGAGGGTCGTGTCGACGGTGCCGCCAGGGGGTGGACCGGGAGGGATTTTTTGGAAAAAAAACGGGAGGGAAGATCTGGGAATTTGACCATGAAATCCTGATTTCAGCACTTGAAAACAGGAGTTCACATGATTTAACACATGAACACTGAGGCTCACTGAGGCTCACTGAGGTTCAAGCAGTGAAAATGGGCCGGCTGGGAGTCCACATGAGTGCATACCCTGTGGTGATTAAGATAGCTATGAAAAATCATCCTTTTCAAGAGGCAAATCATCAGAGTAGTTAAATTCTCTTGTTTCCATGGCTATTGTTTTGATTACAATAAGGTAAATCACGTTCTTCCCATCAACAAAAGGTTACTCTGCTGGATCTCAAACGCGGTATCCCGATTCCGCAGGTTCGCCTTCGATGCCGTTGATGCAAAAATGGCTGCCGATCCACCAGGCGTCTCGTCACGAAGAAATGGGGGTCACCATCCGAAAGACATGTTGAATATCTCCAATGTTATGGCCATGGCTACCAGTTATAACTGGTTATTTCTATGGGATGAGAAACATTCTATAAATGGGGTTTTCTTAGTACTTATAACTGATAAATGGCCATAACTGCAATCTTCGGATCTAATCGCAGCATGTTAGTATATCTCCAAAATTGATACAACACATGTTGACAACACATGTTGACCATCCATATAGTAGATCATGATATACAACAAACTTGGAACATGATCTAATCATATCTAATATTTTCTGTTGTATATCATGATACGTCACTATCATGATAAGCCCTTTTTGAAAATATATTGAAACAGGGATATATCATTATATCATATGTGATATCATTAGCATTATCTGCGTCAGACCGGGAACCACATGTTCAGAACAGATTCGATGCGGCCTGCAGCCTGGAGCCGGGTACTGTAGTTATGTTTTGCTATGGCTACCCTCTGGTAAACTAACATAACTATGGAAAAACACATTTTTTTTATGGGTAAATCAACTATAAATTGCCATTTTCAATAGCTATATTAGTTTACCAGAGGGTATCTCTAATAACTAGCCAAACAGTTGTTGTTTCTTTTTTCCCCACCTGCCAGGTGAGGGTTGTTAGATTTTATGTCAGTTGCTTCCTCCTCGTCCTCCTCCTCATCCTCCTCGTCCTCCTCCTCCTCCTCCTCCTCTCCTCTCTCCTCGTCTCCTCTCCTCGTCTCCTCTCCTCCTGCTCCCTGCCGGACTTCAACCACGACCATCCACGCCCAGTGTTCCCTGCCGGACCTCAACCACGACCATCCCCACCCAGTGTTCCCTGCCGGACCTCAACCACGACCATCCACGCCCAGTGTTCCCTGCCGGACCTCAACCGCGAGTATCCACGCCAAGTGTTCCCTGCAGCATGCCGGACCTCAACCACGACCATACACGCCCAGTGTTCCCTGCCGGACCTCAACCGCGAGTATCCACGCCAAAAGATATGCCACATAGAGTGCCAGAAGATATGCCAGATAGAATGTTAGAAGATATGCCAGATAGAATGCCAGAAGGTATGCCAGATAGAATGCCAGATAGAATGTCAGCTAGAATGCCAGAAGATATGCCAGATAAAGTGCCAGAATGTTTGCCAGATAGAATGCCAGCAGATTTGCCAGATAATATGCCAGAAGATATGCTAGATAGAATGCCAGATGGAATGCCAGAAGATTTGCCAGATAATATGCCAGAAGATATGCCAGATAGAATGCCAGATGGAATGCCAGAAGATATGCCAGAACATATGCCAGAAGATATGCCAGAAGATATGCCAGAACATGCCATCATGCCAGAAGATATGCCAGAACATCTGCCAGAAGATATGCCAGAACATCTGCCAGAAGATATGCCAGGTAGAATGCCAGAAGATATGCCAGATAGAATGCCAGATCGAATGCCAGAAAATATGTCAGATAGAATGCCAGAAGATTTGCCAGTAACAAAATGTATAAATGTCATGGTGGGGATCACACGAAGTAAAGTAATTTTTTTGTGGGGTTGTTGTCTGGCTAGAAGATTGGCGGTGCCAAGATGGGTAAGTGTCTCTATGAATTTATACTTACGATAGAAATGTTGTGTTTATGGTGAATTGACATCTACATTTGATTGAGTAAAAACAAGCCAAGTGCGAAGTCGGAAGCCCCACTATACTAGGACCTCACCAGAAGGGATGGTGTGGAAACCAACATTTCTCGTTTGGTGGTACACAAGCATTTCATGTTTATCAAGTGGATTTGTTTGTGTCCTACAATAACTTTCAACCAACAGTAGGTAGAATATATGGATGGTGGCATTATCACTAGTTGGTGGTATGCATTTGCTTCATGCGGAGGTTTCCTAATCCCAAATTAGACAATTTTAGTACTGAAACCATGGTTTTAGGGAGCCACCATTTTCGAGAAATCCCCATGTATGATCATGTATGTACACTTTACAAAATCCAAACAACATATGTTTTTCTGCTTGTATTCCCAAGGTTTGAAGGAAATGGCGAGTAGAATAGGATAGTGGATGGTGACACAATCGTGAGCATGTGAGCAGTGGCCGAAACCCAGGTTGATTACTTTAGTAATTACAGGGGATTCTGTTGGGGCTTGTGGCCAATCGTGGGAATTCCTTAATTTATTTATTGGTAAAAAGGGATGACAGCAGGTGTTAAGGTGCATTTTCCTTGAACAGATGACTGACGAAACCAACGAACGCGAAACAAACAACCATGTTGGCTGTATATGTGTGACGCCTGCCAGGGTGAAATGAGTGAGTTCAATGCTTTCAAGAATTTGACCCGCTTGATATTCTTTTTGAAACTGCCCCCCTGGCACGCTCACTCTAAGTAACTCCGGCTTCACGGTCTACTGTGATTTCACCTGATTTTTCGTTCCCTTTGAACCCTTAAACAAAACAGTAAAATTATAGTATGTAACAATGTAATTCGAACATTCAAAGATCCCTCAACTTCACTGGCTTCAAGGAATCATTTACATGCTTCCATCATGTTTTCTTACCATTTCTTACCATCAAAACATGCTTCGGATTTTCTCGGTAAAAATGGCGTCACCGCCGACAGCGCCAAGTCTGAAGTGCTTCCCTACGACCAATGGGTGAAAGCCTGGCATGTGAAAGTAGGTGCCGCAGCCCCGAACGCTACGCATCGAGGATTCCCAGGGTGGCAGTGACAATGGAGCCCCAAAAAATATGGGATCTTTTCATGGTATGTAACCCATAGGATGATATTCACATTCAAAAAATGATGGTACAGTTATGGCCATGGCTACCAGTTATAAGTGGTTATTTCTATGGGATGAGAAACATTCTATAAATGGGGTGACTTGTTAGTACTTATAACTGATAAATGGCCATAACTGTAATGGTATATAGTTATACCCGCAGCACGTGCGCTAAGCCCCACAGGTATTCCACTATATAATACATTAATGCACATTATCACAGGGCTTTTTCAGGGTTTATGTAGGGGTTTAGGGCGGTTTAGGGTTCTTCTTTAGGGTTAATTTAGAGTTTGTTCTATGGTTTTTCTACTGTTTTTGATGTTTATGTAAAAAGCGGCGAGTAACAGGGGGACTTTGCAAACCCAGAGCCATCTAGAATCGATTTTTTAAAGCGCCAATCACAAAGTACTGTAAGGGTCACCAAAAAATGAGGGTTCCGACAATCATCCCGAAAGACTTTGGGGCATAGCACAACTGAATGTAGTTATAGTTGCTTACAGTACTTCATGGTAACTATGTTTGATTTAAAGATTTAATGACATGTATAACCAACAAATTCATCTTTCGGTGTGGACCTGAACATGGTGTATACTGTATACGTAGTGGCAATGTGAAATGTGAATTGTGATGGTCTACTCTCAGAGCTTCTCCAGGTAAAAAGCCGCTGTCTCCCCCTTGGTGACGCCACTTCCAGCAGTTTCTGAGTTCGGATGGGTTGTAACAGCAGACAGCCAACCCTTGGGATCCACATCATTTTGGGGATATTCAGATGATATTCACATTCAAAAAATGATGGTACAGTTATGGCCATTTACCAGTTATAAGTGGTTATAAATGGGATTATACATTCTAGAAATGGGGTTATAAGTACTTATAACTGATAAATGGCCATAACTCTATACAATGGTTTTTTTCGGCGAACGCGGAGCCCAGCTTCCGCTTCCCGCATCCGCAGGTCGCTTGACGGATGTGGTGTATCACACCTATTCGAATCATCCCGAGTTCGTCAAGGACGGGTGAAGCAACGGCTGAAGCAATGATAAACACCTTGGACAATGGAAATTCATAGATGTAGATGTTACATTGTGGTATACAAGTTATGTATGATCTACATATCCTACTCTTTGATCCACAGATATATGATATATTCCTATACTTCCACATTGTCGGTGCATTGCAATGTCTGGCAGAATGCTTGTATATCTGGTGGGTCAAATCCTCGTGTGTTTGATGTTCAAACAGTCAAACATGGTTGAACCCCCATCGTTGATCATTTGTGCAGCTTTAAAGCACCATTTTTGATGCTTAAAACGCTTGCATTCGTTTCATCCAAAACTTGGGAGCCCGCAAGCGAAGCTGCTCGCGACTCGCATCCGTTGGAAGGAGCTGAATGGCATGACGACTTTCCTCCAGAGTCTTGACGATTTTTTTCAGGGATGGTGCCATGGTGCCTTAAATTTTCTCGTGGGATGAACCAAGCACCGGAAAATAAACCGTGGATTTCTGAACCATCCACTGGACTACAATGTGGGGCCCCCAAACGATAGCTAAGTTGGTTTATAACTCCAATAACTATGGTTTATTGTACTTATAGCTATATTATAGTATTCATGGGGTTTATAAACCAACAAACATCACTGGGGGGCCCCACATTGTAGGGCCTGTTTGTTTATTATATAGATAGTAATCAGCTGTGACGAGCTTTGGGAGGAATCGCTTCTTCATGAAGCTCGAAGATGTGTTCTATGTAGGTCCATAGAGCAGCTACATATTGGACAACCCAATCCGGGACTTCCCTTGGCCTCATCGGTCTCCCGTTTCTCAATTCGGCCACCGAGCGGGTGGGCTCATTCCCGAAGCCCAGCACATCTACTTTGGAATTCCTGAATCAATGACCCTCTGACAATCAAACATGGCAATGGAAAATCCACCATTTATAGACGTGTTTCCATGCTTTTCCTATTAATGCCTCCATTCATCTGGGATTTCCAATTGCAATGTTTGAGTGAGGGTATGACGAAAAATTTCTGCAGCCAAATGGTCTTTCACATCTGCTCAGGTGGCAACTTTCACACAACTGTCCTAAGCAAGTTGCAGCTTGGTCGAAGTTGGTGATTCACCCAAGGTAAGTGGGTAACCACAGTTATAAGTAGGCTAAGTCGCCGAAGTACCCTCTGGTAAACGTTTACATATCTATGGAAAGTCACCATTTTAATGGGTACATCCACTACAAATGGCCATTTTCAATAGCTATGTTAGTTTACCAGAGGGTAGCTGTGCCCATAACTTATAGTTGCATCCCAATTTGGGACGTGACATCGGGATATGGCTATGGGTCAGTTCACCGATCCAGTCTCTGGTGAACCTTGAAAGAACTGAGATTTATGGATGTCCATCGCCTAAAAATAGCAATACCCTCTGGTTATTTAACATAGCCATGGAAAATGGCCCATTTACAGATGGTTTACCTATTAAAAATTGTGATTTTCCATGGCTATGTTAGTCATAACCAAATGGTATATTTGGTGTTATGATGGTGTAGAACTCCATGTGCACTCAACAGTTGGGTTTGCAGCCCGCTGAAACTTATAGGCATTGCGTGTCAGGAGTTTAGAAATGCGGTCCATGACCAACCAGCTCCAAACAAGGAGAAAAACCTACAATTGAGTAGTTGACATGTCAACCGCTATTTGGATTGCCTTGCCGGTTGCATGCGCATATCTATGAAACCTGAATGTTGTGTGCAACTGGTTGTAGCAAGCAGTGCCAAAGGCTGAGATGCAGTTTTTCCTAGCACCAAGTATAGATGAGGAGTTCATAAAACTGAGCGTAGTGGATACAAAACCCTGGGAGAAAACACATTCGGGCGAAAAACTACCAGGCGCTGCTTGACCTGTTTGCAGTGCTGCTCCAGTCTGATGTAAGAAACGCTACCTGGTTCAAGAGTCTGCTTTGTACAAAAAACGATGAATGTGGCGACCAGTGTGCTCATCTCAAGCTGGATAAATGTGTGTCCACTTGAGGCCAAGATCAGCCACAGCAGAGTGGAAGCAGACCTTAAGAGGGACAAGGAACCAAGTATCTAAAAGCAAGTCTGGAGACCAATGATTCTGGGGTACCCCAAGTTTTCAGAAATACCGCGATACCTAAGCAATAACATGAAGTACCCATATGCGACTAGGATTCTACGCCTACTCGAAACTTGTCACTCGGGTCCACCCACCTAATCGCTAGCTTTGGGTGCTGCAACCGGCTCGGGTTTTGTTTTGGTCTATCATAAACATCGCATCTATTGATGGGGATGGTTTATTATCAAGAGTAGGATCCTAACACCATCAAATCCCAAAGCCTTAAATCCTAAACCACAAGCCCTAGCCTCAAAATGCAATTGAAAAAAACAAGAGAAAACCTTAGAACCTAAACACATAAACCCTAAAACCCAATTCCAAACCCTCAAACCTTGGAAACCTAAAAGTGATGTTGGGTACACGGGGTGTCTACGCGTAGTTTTTCATGGGTACCACATGATACCGTACCTTGCCTATCGACTTGCTAACATCCTTCCTTAGAAGGTACTTCACCCATCTTCACCCCAAAAATCATATCTTTGATACTGCCAAGAAGGATTGAAACCCACAGGGATTGCAAGAAATGTTTCTATGAATTATACAGTCACAAAGCTAGCCTCATGGCCTATCCACAGAACTTCACCAATATTTGGTGGCCAGTCTGAGGACATCATTCCAGCTTGCACCATGAGATTGTGTGCCCAGAGTCGTAAATGGGTGGTAAATAGCTTGCTTGATCTGAAAACGGGGTACCACCATCATCCTATGGCCGAAAGGGAACATCAGCAGGAAACACGTATCTTTGATGAGAACGAAACGAAACAACAATCTCATCAAAACATTTCCATTAGGGACCCTATTTTTAGGGGCAACGAAACAATATTTCATGGTTTCCTACAGGTAGGGCCGCATAAATAGCTAAGTTGACACATAATTTTCTTAACTGTTGGGTTTAAGTGGGATACAACTCAACTATAGTATTCATAGGTTATAAACCAACAAACATAACTAGGGGGCAATGGTTTCCTTATAGATGTTCCTTACGTATGTTTTCCCCAGCCATTTGCGAAAGCGATTTTTCGAAACCGAACCGCGCCGAGGTCGGGTTTGACATCGTCTCTCATGACGCTCACCACTTTAAACCCCTGAAGGGGGCACCTTGGACGACAGTGGCTACCCTCTGGGAACTGGAAAATGGCCATAGAAAGTTCGTTGATTTAGCCATCAAAAATAGTGATTTTCCACAGTTATGCAAACGTTTACCAGAGGGTATATACATATATGGCGAAGACATAGAATTTCCACAGTTTTCAAGAATAGTTTTTGTTTCAACACATGCAGCAGCATAGACATATCATGAACTATCGTTTTTGTTCATATCTCTGTTAGTTTTTGTTTTGGGCAATATATCCAGGCTAGTTTATCGTGATTACTGGTTACAAAGTGGGCCCCAGAAGACATGATTTGGTCACTTGGTCTAGTTTTACCCATTCAACTGATTTCAACTGTAGATACATCCACCAGAAATCCTAGAGATACTGTTTGTAGTTTTTAACCAACTTCCCTATAGCGCAAAACATGGGGATAGAACCAGGAACAGAGGGCGATGCATCCAATAATTGTGATTATCTGATTTGGTTAGTATAACTTAATGTATGTGGTTAGCAACCGTGGTGTAACCCTGTCATAAAGGGGATAACATACCGTTGATATGGGTGACCGTAAGTCTCTTCCGACGGGTTATCCCGTTTTTTGAAGAGTTATAACTTGGCTGATTCCCAGGTGGCCTCCCCGTTATACGTTGGTTTAGTTACAGTTCTCCGCAGAAAGATAGGAAAGTAAATCCCTATTGAAATAGTCATGATGCAACTGTTTCCAGTTTTTGGACAACAAAATTATCTGACCATCTCTGGCCATATAGCCAATATCTAGCCATAAACCCTTGATTAGTTCTCCAAGTTATATCGTGGATTTCTAGATATTTCTAGCCTGCCTTGGCTGCCTTGGCCACGGTATGACTGGGGCAGCACCTTGCCATGTCCGGTCTCCCGTAGGTCTCCCGTAGGTCTCATATAGGTGCCAAAAACTGAGGTTACTTCGCCTGGGCAATGTCAGATGATTTGCACCGCCGCTGGGGCCGGCAATGTGGTGGCTTTTGACGAACATCGCCATATAATTATATATACATTGTATAATAATGTATAATAATGTATATATATAATTATAATATATATATATATATTATATTAATAATACTAATAATAATAGTAATAATAAAAATGATAATCATAATCATAATAATTATATATATATAATTATATATATACACGTATATATATAATATCATATGTATATATAGGATATATTTGTAATAATGATAATAATAATAGTAATATATATATATTATATATATATATATCACCAACTGTGGTTTATTGTGGATGTATTGAACCAGTTAGGTCGAACTATCAACAGTTGGGATTTATTTCAATAATGAGTTCAAAGGTTTCTTGGGGATATCATGGCTGTACATAGATATCAAGGTGATTTCAAGGTGAATATTAACCACCAAACATGGGTGTATATATATATATAATTAATATGGATTCAACGGAATATATGACCAACAATTAATGATACTTGGGGTTTGTTTTAAAATGCGTTTTTTACAGCTACATGGCTATGTCTTTTTTCTCAGACCCTGTGGAGCATAGATTCTGTTCATTGTTTCGAAACCTTCAACCAACCCATAGCATCCCATGTTCATAGCAAGTGATTCCCAATTCACACTCACAAATTCCCAGCCAAATCCCAAAACACACAGGCCAATGCCCAGCGGCTAGCGAAAGTCCCACTTGATTCCCAGAGTATACCATCAGTCAACCCCCCTTCCTTTACCTCTGTAAGTTCCATTTATGATGGTAAAAACCCGGCAAAACAGCCCAGGAAAAA